GTATGTCTATAATTAGTCTTTTTCTCTGTCCTATTGGTTCCTGGCTCGCCTGATGGATAGCCAACTCTCTAAGCATATCATGCTGAGTAACAAAGTGTTCAGTGTAATAGCCATCCGCCTCCCTCTCATTCCTGGATGTTCAATAATAATTTTCTCATAAGAGATTTCTTCAACATAAATATTGGAACAGAAAATTATAAGCAGCAGTGAGTCGTGAATATAAGGGAAAAAGTGGAGTGATAGTAGCAGACAAGAGGAACATGGAATCCTACACACCTTTTGTCTACAAGATTAGCTAAACTCTGGGTGGTTAGTTCATAGAGGTTTGCAATGGACAGACTAGGTTCGTCTAGCCCATATAACTCAGCCCACATATCTATGAGGGTGGCAGCAGAGATCCTTTGATCTTTAGGAAATGAGCAAAAGTCTAGGAAACATTCCTTGAGGATAGGCTTTTCTTTGTCCAAGGCATCTAAGCTGCTTTGGAGGCAAGCAAGCAAATCACTGTTAGATGCAAGTATAGAAGAACCTTTAGACCATTCCATTACTTTTTTTCGCCAGATCTCTACAGGCTGGCCGCGAAGTGATCTTCCAACCTCCGTAATGGCAAGTGGAAATCCCTTACAGAGCTCTACTATCTGCAGTCAATTTTTCCAAATGAAGTCAATCAATACTTGAGTGCAGGCCCAAAACAGTAGTGTCTAAATTGGTTTCATGAAGATGACAAAATGGTTTAAGTAATTGTCTACTTAAAATGAACGTATAATCTTTTGCAGGTAGATATGATAAATGGAAGTGATCACTATTCACTCATGTATATATACATGGTTGTTTTACAAATACACACACACATATATATAGGAATTCTCAGAGCCGGACGTCCATCCTTTTAACAAAAGATGAATTTGTATATAAAAGACGAGCGTCCTGTAGAGAAAAAAAAACCCCTATATGTAATTATATGAAAAGCAAACATATAATCTCTTGACCTTCGTCTGTGACACATAAATAAGCACATATGTTGTGCTTTGCGGATAAAGAAATCACCTTTCTCGAAAGGTCTTCCCGAGCATAAGAGGTCTTATCATCCAAGGATGCTGAATGACGAAAAAGAGCCATTGCATCTGCATCATTCAATGATTCCAAATGATATGGAGAACCAAATCTTGGAAATGCAAATCTTGACGTGACCAAAACTTTGTAATTTGACATTTTGAATTGATCAAACTTCTCAAGAAGGGACTCTGATCCTGACCAAACATCATCCAGGACAAACAGTAAAGGACTTTGTACTGTTTCCTTCAGAAATAAGATATAAGAAAGGTGTCGCTAGAAGCTCATTTAAATATGTCTCCAATTGTGTAAATATAAGCAATGATACTTTCATCCTTTCATATCACTATTACTAGACTAAAAATGAAGTGTAAAAAAAAAAGTAGAGTGAGATACCTTTTACTTCCTGATCTTGACAAAATTTTTTTGCCAATGTGGTTTTCCCCCATCCACCAGCAGCAGTCAGCACAAGCATGGACACATCATCCTTAAGAAGCTTTATCTTCAATTCCTTCACTGGCACATCCAACCCGACTGTAACCGGTGGAGGTTCAGGCACAGCAGACCAACCATTGATTTTTTCAGACTGATTTTGCATCACTAAGTTCCCTTCGATACGATGCAGCACCGTCTCTATATTCCTTAATGAAACCAAGGTCTCCCTGACATCCCTTATGCCCTGCACTTTCAACATATCCACTAGTCTTTGAAGACGTCTATCCAATTCATTAAGTTTTTTGGTGTATCTATATTTCCTGCGGCAGCTCCACACACCAACCTTGCTGCACTTGCGAACAAGATTTACCCCTTCCTCCATTTGCATTGCGTAATTTTCTAGCCCCTCCTTTGGGTTATATTTTTCTATGTCTTTTATCATTGGCTGTAAAGCGTCTAGTGTGGATTTGATATTTCCAAGGAGAGGCTTAAACATGGTAGTCTCCGCCTTTACTGCTATAACCGCATCAAGCAGCATTTGAAATGCTGCTCTTAGGGCACCCACGCCCACTGCCAATGCCATAAGTATGAAGCAATATCCAAAGCTAAAATCAGACAACTTCTATTAGGTTTCAATCCAAAGCCTAAGATGAGAAGAAGAAAAGAAAAAAAAAAGCAATAAGTTGACGTAACTTGGGATCAAAGAAATAAATAAATTAACATTAGCACAAAAACCCAACAATGCAAAACTCAATCTTATCTTACTTGTTGTTAGTGACGCCAATGGTGCAAGAAATAACAGAAATATGAAAAACTGATAAAACTGTTCCTGGAGAACAAAATAAGTTATGTTGTTTGCAATTTCTTCGTTTCAGTTCAGCGTATTAATAAAGTACCGAGTTGATGCCGATTGTCAAATGAACTAGCCCAGCAAATACCACGAGCCGTCAAGGAAAGTTGCAAATACCAAATGCTCTTTTTTTTTCATTCAAGAAATCGTTATAAAAAGATGCTATTTCTTTAAAAACAAAAAAAGAGTAAGTTATTCCTCGTTTTGGTAAAACTCTGCGTCACCTCACCAGTAAAACGTATAAAATCCTTTAGAAGAACAAAGGTACACGCGGTGGAGTAAATGATGAAGTAACTAACCAACAACTTGACTTTTCTTATAAGTGAAGAACATACTTTTGTCTTTCCAAGAAATGATAAGGAAAAAGCAAAAGGTTGAATAGCTTGGCACAATGAGCACTCTGACATACTTTCGTCTTTCGAATAAATGATGATAATTCAGGAAATTTCTATTATTTCTTAAATAGCTAGGCGTAATGAGCACTCTAACATAACTAGTCTTTAATCTAATAATAGTTATTTTTATTTATTTAAACGTTCAAAGACTGACTCATATGAATGCAACATTCAGATTTTGTCGTGGGTGGATCATCTTGTTTACGTGCATCATACGTCCAACCGAAGAATTTCGTGCGAAATTGCTCCAAATTTACTTGAGACCAATTCGAGGATAATTTTGAACATGACAAATCAAACTTTATTTGATGAACATAGAAAATAGTTTGAGACCAATTCATCGCAGTGTTCAATATTCAATTTCTCTAAATTTGACAATGCGTCGGAAATTAGGATGAAATCATTGAACAATTGCTGAAAGCTTGAGTGGCAGAGATATATCTTCTGTAGAACGTTGATATCTGAAATCATTCAACCCTAGTGCTCAGATGTTAAATTTCCCTTGAAAATACACAAGTTTGGAAAATTTCTTAAGGAAAGTGTCAAAGTATTGCACAGTTGGTTTACTGCATTTTCCTGAGGTAAAATTGTTTCCGGAGAACAAAATAAAAGTTATTTGTTTGGAATTCTCTGTTGAACGACCCTTGACCCACCCTTGACGGGGCCAATTACGTTAGTGACACTGTGACGCTATCTAACCAAGCAAATACCGGGAGCCGTCAACGAAAGTTGCCAAAAAGACTTTTTATTATTTTTTATTATTTCAATAATATCAAAATACGTGGATGCTACGACCCTTCGGTTGATGAAGCGCATAGCCATATGCTCTTTACTTATTTTTTATTCAAGAAATCTTTATAAAAAAAGATGCTATTTCTTTAAAAACAAAAAAAAAAGGGTAAGTTATTCCTCGTTTTGGTATAACTCATGACAACAAACCTTTGTCTTTCCAAAAAATGATAAAGAAAAAGCAAAAGGATCATTCAGAAAATTTCTTTTATTTCTTAAATAGCTAGACGCAACGAGCACTCTTACATAACTAGTTTTTAATCTAATGATAGTAATCTTTGTTTAGCTAGACATTTAAAGACCAATTCATAAGAATGCAACATTCGGACTTTGTGGTGGGTGGAATATCTTGTTTACTAGTATAATACATCCAACCGAAGAATTTCATGCGAAATTGCTCAGACTTTACTATTGTGATTGAGCTAAGAATTACGTGCGGAGAGGACACGATATAGTGTCCTATTGTTTCCCTTAATCTAATAATATTGAGCTAGACGTTCAAAGAACGACTAATATGAATGCAACCTTCAAACTTTGTCGTGAGTGGATTATCTTGTTTGCGTGTATCACATGTTGAACAAAGAATTTCATGCGAAATTGCTCCAACTTTATTATAGTGATTGCACTAAGAATTACGTGTTGGGAAGGCACAATATAGTTTCCTAATTTTGTTTTCTTTAATCTAATAATAGTCATCTTTATTTAGCTACACGTTCAAAGACCGACTCATATGAATACAACATTCAGACTTTGTTGTGTGTGGATTATCTTGTTTGCGTGTATCATACGTCGAACGAAGAATTTCATGCGAAATAGCATTAACTTTATTATTGTGAATTGTGATTGAGCTAAGAATTACGTGTCAGCATGACACAATATAGTTTCCTTTTGTTTTCTTTAATCTAATAATAGTCCTCTTTATTTAGCTAGATGTTCAAAAATCGACTCATCTGAATGCAACATTCAGACTTTGTCGTGTGTGGATTATCTTGTTTACGTGTATCATATATTAAACCGAAGAATTTCATTCGAAATTGAATTGAGCTAAGAACTATGTGCGGGCAGGACACAATATAGTTTCCTTTTGTTTTCTTAGAAGAAGCACGAAAACATCAACGTGGTTTAATAAATTTCTTTTGTATTACAAGTACAATTTCTCTTTGTGAGTTTTCAAATTCAAAGGTTTGGGTTACATAACTTCATTGGTTCACACAAGAAATTATATCATTTTTAGAGCAAGAAAAGTTATTTGATTATGTTCTTTCTTGTTTCAACTATAACGTGCTTGAACAAGAAAAGTTCAATTCTAAGTTGATCAAGTATATATCTAGAAGAAGATTATTTTAGGGATAATTTTGAACGTGACAAATCAAACTCTATTTGATGAAGAACATAGTTTGAGACCAATTCATCGCAGTGCTCAATATTCAATCCCCAAATTTGGCAATGCATCTGAAATTAGGATGAAAAAAGTAAAGTGTGAAAGTATTGCACAGTTGGTTTATTACATTGATTTTACCTGCAATATTCTTATCTCATTCTATTTACAAAAACAGAAGGAAAACATTGAAAAAATAAAAATACAGGGAAAATAGGAAAACAATGAAAAACAAATCACACAGGTTACAGACAATCATTGAGAAACTACATGTTTCAGATTTTGGTGTGGTGAAGCCAATTAAGATTGATATTTTCTTTGGCCACATTTATGCTTACGTTGTTTAGGTGAGATGAGAAAGATTCCCATAAATATTTTGTCTCTTCATCACAGATCACTTCCTTTAACTGCTCAAGATCCAAAACAGATAGAGGTAGCTCTTCCAACCTTAAGCACTGTCTCATGTTGATCTTTCTTAAATTGCTTATGTCACCAATGTCTTCAGGCAACTCCCTAATGCTGAAGCAATCAGATATGTCAAGAAAGTCTAACTTTTTGAGGTTCTTCATCGAGCCTGGAAGTTTTACTAGGTCTGTACAGGATTTTAGCCTCAACACTTCTAACTTGGTCAACTTTCCAATCTCTTCAGGCAAGGCAGATAGCTTATGACAATTGGTGACACTGAGCTTCTTTAGTTGACTAAGACCACAGAGCTCGGCAGGCAATTCCACCAAATCATGGCAATAGTCAATGTTCATTTCCTCTATATTCGGGAATGCTGATGAGATTGGGATGGAGCAGTTGCTGAAAGCTTGACCGATATTGCACATGAACAAGGATATCTTCTGCAGACTCTTCAATTCTATGGGGTTCTTGGTTATGGAAAGAATTGAGATGCGTTCTAATCTGATTCTCTTCAAATTTGATAACGAGCTCAGAAGTTGAAAGTTACTTAACTCAGCTGGTAAGAAACCATAATTTGTGACTATTAAAGCCTTCAATTTATCCATGTTCTCCACAGATTCGGGTAAGGCATGGTTCTCTGTCTGGAAATTCAAGACTAGAACCTCAACTTCTGGTACTTGCATGTTGTGCCATTTTCCTGAAAATACACCGTCTGCAAAGTAACAACATGCTAATTGATGTGAGTGTGGGATGAAATTAATACGAAACTACTAAAAAGTTAATGTCTGCATGTATGCGTAATTGCGAAAGAGAGAGATGGGACAACCTGTTGAGATAGATAACAGGCGAGCTTTCATCAATTGATGCTTCTGTTCTCTCCACCACTTGGGAGGTTTGTTTCCTCGTATGTCTATAATCAGTCTTGTTCTCTGTTCGGCTGGTTCTAGTTTTGAGTAGTAGATAGCTAGCTCTCTAAGAATATCATGTTGGGTAACAAAGTGTTCATTGTAGTACTCATCCCCCTCCATATTTTCCTTCCTAGTGATGATCAAAACTAAGTTACTTAAAAGAGATTTCTTCAGATAACATATTGCAATAACAAGATATTAGCAGCAGCAACAAGTGCTGAATAGGAAAAATAGAGTGAAGATATCATATAAGAGAAAAATAGAAGCAGGCACACCTTGTGACTACAAGATTAGCGAGACTACGCTTGGTGAGCTCGTAGAGGTTTGCAATGCACTCTGTGTCTTCATCTAGATCATATAACTCTCCCCATATATCAATGAGGGCAGCAGCAGGGATTCTTTGGTCTTCAGGAAATGAACCCAGGTCTAAGAAACATTCCTTTATGATAGCCATTTCTTTATCCAATGCTTCTAAGCTGCTTTGGAGACAAAGAAGCAATTCAGCCTCTGAATCATGAACAGTAGAACCTCTAGACCATTCAATTACTCTCTTTTTCCAGATCTCTATAGGCTGCCCGCAAAGTGATCTCCCAAGCACTTTAATGGCTAGTGGAAATCCCTTACAACGCTCTACCATCTGCAGTTCAATTTTTGAAAATGAAGTCACATACCAAAATTCAGGTCTCTGAAAATCATCTCAATGATTTTATGAAGATGGGAAAATTTGTAAATAGCTAAAAATGTGCATTGCAAGTAAAAAGTACCTGTCTTGAAAGATCTTGTGGAATAAGAGAGCTCTTATCTCCCAAGGATGCTGAATGATGAAAAAGTTTCATTGCATTGTGATAATCCAATGACTGTAAAGAATATGGAGAGCCAAATCCCCGAAACTCAGACCTTGATGTCACCAAAAGCTTGTAATTTGGCATTTTAAATTGATCAAACTTCTCCAGAAGGGATTCTGATCCAGACCAAACATCATCCAGGACCAACAGTAAAGGATTTTGTCCTTGTTCCTTGAGAAAATGGTGCAGCCACTTAACTGCATTTACTTCATTTCCGAGAGTAGGTACTTTGGAACCCCTGCATCGATGAAGTTCTTGAACAATACGTTCCAAGTTGGGGTTGCTTGAAACAGTGACAAAGAAGATATTGTCCCGGAATGTATCTATCCAAAGAAAATATAGGAATGCTGTCATTAAGGTCTCTTTCAAATCTGTCTACGGTTGTACAAAGATTAAACATATATAATTGCAGTCCTAGTATATCCAAAGAGTAAGAAATGTGTGTGGCAATTTTCTAAAGAAAACATGTTCCTAGCAAATATGTGTATATAAGGCCAGCTCTTGATCAAAGCTCACAACTGAAAAGGAATAAAATATACCTTTGACTTCCTGATCTCGACAAAATGCTGTTGCCAAAGTGGTCTTGCCACATCCTCCAGGAGCGGTCAGAACAAGCATTGACACCCCATCTTTAAGATTAAGAAGCTTCCTCTTCAACTCCTTCAAAGGAAAATCCAACCCAACTACAAGCGCCGGAAGTTCAGGTGCTGCACCCCAAACTTCAGTCTCATCTTGATATTGTAACACCAAACTTGATTCAATTCGGCTGACCACCTTCTCTATGTTCCTCACCGAAACCGAGCTCCCCTTCACATCCCTTATGCCCTGCACATTCAGCATATCTAAAAGCCCTAGAAGAGATTCGTTCCAATCAAGAAGTTTGTTGGCATATTTGTACTTTTTATAAATGTTCCACGCACGAATCTTTGAGCACTTGTGGACCAGCTCTATGCCCTTCTCCATCCCTACTTTCAGATTTTCTAGTTCCTTATCTGGGAGATCCAAATCCTTGTTGTATTTTTCTATTTCTTTGATCAATGGGTGTAAACTGTCTAACCTTGCTATGATGGCTTTGAAGAGGCTTTTATATATGACATTCTTGCCGATCAGCTCCTTGAGGCCATCATACAACACATTAAACAGTGCTCCTAGACCAGCCCCTCCAAAATCTGGTCCTCCCATTCTTGATCCTTAGCAACAAAACCCAACACCAAAATCAGACAACTTGTTCAAGTTACCTCTAAACTTGGAAGCCAATAAGTTCAGAACCCAAGAAACGGAGTAAACCAGAGACTCAAAAGCAGGAAATACAAAGCTCAGCTTTCTCTTTCTTTATTGGCTTATATGCACGATAAGATAAAGAAGAATTTCAGAAATGATGTTACTGATCTGCGAAGCTCGGTGGAAATTTCTATTGACTGGTTGAGTTAAACGGGCAATTGCATCAACGTTTCTAGGAAACATTCATGGGAAGAAAACTAACCTCCCAGAAATTGCAGGTAGTGGTCAACCAGAAATTGTACTTTTGTGAGGATAAGTTTAAAGAAAGACGACAAAGACATAAAGACAAACGGTAAAGTAATCAAACACACATATAACCAGATGCAGAAATTTACACAATAGGCCACGCTCAAACTAACCAATCATCAATCATGAAGTGGTGCGGTTACTTTATGCCTAAACTCAAACCTTTTTTTTATATATTTATAATGGTTTAGGTCAATTTTCATTTCCAAAAATTTGTATTTACACACTTTCCAAATCTAATTGTGAAATGATAACACAATAATTTTAGAGTTTTTATATTTAAACCTCACACTTCTCTTTGTTCACCCCAACTTTTAATTCAAATTATCATAATTTCTAAGAACACCTCACTATTTTCACCAACTACCTTTAAATACACACTCAACATAAAAAAATAATAACAAAAAATTCATCAACCTCACACCCCACACCCCTCTATCTTACTCCTCACAACTCTAAGTTCACATCAACCTCACGTTACTTAAAAGAGATAAAAACACTGTTGTCAAATGTGCAGCAGTATTATTTTATTATTATGGATTTAGGGTTTTAATGAAGATATTTGAGTAATTCTGCTGTTAAAGTTACTGGGTTTTAATGATTTTGCTTGCAGGGTTCACTTATTGCTCATGTTGGAAGCAATTTTTCTATCAGAAGAGAGCAGTGTTCAAAGTGCGCCTTTCTTTTGTTGGGGTGTTATTAATTTCATATATTAGTGTTTGTTTTTTAATTGGACATAAGATTAAGGCTTGTTTGGTTACTATTGTTATAAACTATGTGGCTTCCGAGTCTTGAAGATTTTCAAATATGTTGTAAAATGAGAAGGTTCCGAAATTCTCTTTTTTCTGTAGTTATGGTGGAGGATCCGCTATTGTGATCTTGATACCATTTATTGGGTTCTCAGCTTGACCTTTGAAGCATTAGTTTTAGATTTTGCAGATTGCAGACTTTATGGGTCTTCAAGGATGGAACTTATAGAAAAAAATTGTTTGTTTTATTTTTATAATTTCCCCTTTTCTTCTTTTGAGGATCTTATAATCTTAACGGCATTGTAACGTTAATTATCTCTTTAAGCAACATACCTCAATTGACGATCCACAAGTCACTATTTGCATATCATATTTAGGGTATGTGAAGAGAAGATGAGAGTATAATAGGATTGAAAGAGAAGAGTAATGTGGCAATATAGTGTAGAGGAGTTTGTGTTTTTCTAAAACTTAATATGAAGAGTGGTGGGGTATTGTGGTGAACCGACTGGGCAAAACTTATATACTAAACTCAACGGCACGAGTGAATTTAATAATAAACATAAAAAAAAAATATTTATATCGAGAAAAATGAGAAGGAAGATGACAGGACCCGCCCCAGAATTTCCCCTGAAACCGGGGCGGACCCCGTCTTGGTGCCGACATCACACTGATACCGGGCCCACTTACTAAAAACCCAAGACATCCTACCAAAATTTTGGCAGAGTCTCCCCTGTAAAATGCTCAAACCCAACAATATTCAACCTGCATAATTTACATAATAGATATATTCCAACTGCCAGCATGCTTTTAACATACAACAATCCAACATAAAGTGGCCTCCGGCCTCAAGTAACAACCTAACATGGGCGATAACAGAGCATCTACAGAATTTGTTTACAACAAACAGT